GATGGATTTACAGAGTAGAACATGTTAGGCAAATGCTCTACCTCTGAGCTCTATCCCAGGCCTTTTTTTTTTTTTTTTTAAACTTTTTATTTTGAAATGGGGTCTCCTTAAGTTGCCAAGGCTGGCCTTGAATTCACTTTATAGTCCTTAAACTTGGAATCCTCTTGCCTCGGCCTCCCAAGGATCTGAGATTGCAGGCCAGTGCCACCAGGTCCCCACTCCACTTTGGGTCTTAAAGCTGTAGGTGATGATGACTCTGGGGGACTTCCAGCCAGGGAAGCAGGAAGGAGGCAGCTACCCAACCCGCCCCCACAAGCCTTAACCTGAAGGAAAAACAAACGGGTCCTTTGGCCTGTGGGCGGGGAGGGGTGGGGCGGAAGGGGCCTTTGTTTGCCAGGAGTTTTCAAGGTTGGCTGGAGACCAGGCCTGGAGTATCACCTGGACCTTCCATTGCAAGTGATGGTTCCTAGACAGGGCTGCCCAGGGCAGGGGCTGGGTGGGAGTGGGTACTTTGGAACAGGGCAGCTTTGGTGGAACCCCTGGAAAGACCTGTCCCTCGGGTCAGTCTCTGCAGGCTCCTGCTAGCAGAAGGTGGAAACCCAGAAGGTTCCCACCTTGGGATTTGACCTTTAACCCAATCTGAGGCTCCCAGAGAGGAGGCTCTGAGTTCAAACCTCGGTTCTGCAGTCCCTGGCTGTGTAACCTGAGGTGCCTTCTCTCACCTGGAGGGACTAGTTTCCTCCTCCATATGCAAAGAGTTAAGAGGAAGATGAAATGTAAAAATGCTTCTAGAATGTTCCTGGACAGAACTGGTACGATGGAGGTACTGAAACAACCCTGAACCTCCTGGGCAGGCTGTGCATTGATAGCATTCACTGATATTGATAGCCTATAAGCAGAATAAATTTCCCCTTAATTCCAATAAGTAGATACTCTGGTTATTCCCATTTTACAGGCAGGAAAACTGAAGTGCAGACAGGCTCAACAACTTGCCAACAACGAATGCCACAACAGCTTGCTTCTCAGCTGTCAATTCTACCAAGGGCTGGGATGCTGTAAAGTGTTAGACATGGAGCGGGGGTCCTCCCCTCCCTATGGTGGTACCCGAGTCTAAGGGTCAGCTTCAGAGAATTGATCCAGACTCTGCTCTCCAGGCTGCATAGCATTGTGGCCTCAGCCATCAGTGGCTATGGAACATGGAACATGGTACATCCAAAGCTGACTGACTGATGGCTCCTCACCGTCCATCCCAACCTCTCTGACAGCAGAGGAGGTCAAGTTGGTTTTTTTGTTTATTTCCTTCTGTTGCTTTGAGACAGAGGGGATACAGAGGGAGGTACCCCTTCTGCCCCAGGGCAGACCCATCTCCACCACACTTGCCTGGGGCTACACAACCTGACACTTCCCTCAGAGGGCCTAGCCCTGTAATTGCTAATCTCCAGGTACTGCGAACACATGCCCTTTTGGGGAGCAGTGCTCAGGAGCCCTAATTCTCAAGTCCTCTAGGGGGATCTTCTGGCAGGAGGTGCCATTGTGCTGAGGCCTGGGGGTGCTCAGCTACCCTCAGGGTCTCAGGGCCTCACATTTATCTGTGGATCTCCCAGGATGCTCTTGGCAATGAAGAAGTGTCTGAGCAGAGTGTCCCCGACCCGTCTTTGTTTCTGCTGACTCATAGAACATTGTACCCAAGTAAAACTGTCCAAGGGGCTCTTTTCCTGCCTCAGTATCCACCTAAGTTTTGAGGTGACACTGAGGATGCCACCTTTGAATTGGGAGTCCAGGGAACAGTAATCATCATGGTAACTAACCTCAGACTAACTAACAATGGCAAGGTCCATCTGGATCCAGCCACAAAAGAGCCACAGAGAGACAGCCGGAACCAAATGGGTGGCAGGACGGGCTTTCCACATCCATGGCATGCCATTCTGAGCTGGCACGAGTGATCTGGGTGGTATGGATTGCTTTTGGAGAAAGTTTTAGGAGAGAGGGTATGGGCATGTTTCCGTGAGGTTTCCTGTCCACATTCAGGGGTGTCTTTTAGAAGTCTCCTTCCTCCCTGGGGTGTGGCAATGGAAGATATGTGTGTGTGTCTCCGTGTGTGTGTGTGTGTGTGTGTGTGTGTGTGTGTGTGTGTGTGTGTGTGTCGAGGGGTCACAGTGGCAGACCAGGTCCACTTTTCCAATGGAGACGCACCAGCAGGTCATTGGTAGGCGAGCCCAAGGCCATCCTAAACACAGTGACTTGCTGAGGGCTGGTGTGAGAGACGGTCCACATCCACGTTCACCACTCCAGTGCTCCCCCGTCTCCAGAGCCTACCCTTCCCTTTAGGGAAGACACTGGGAACTCTACAGTTTCTGTGCACAGTTAATACGGGAGGGGACCTAGAGGGGCCATCACTGGCGTACAAGAGGAGACGGCCATCGGGACTCCAGTCAGATC